AAAGTATCAGATTCTCAAAAGAGAAGTTGATGGGACGTGGAAAGAAATCGGGAGAAATTAGGATGAAATTAAGAAATGGTATCATGCCCTACTGGAAAGGTTTTATGCAAAATTTTGCTTGAGGACAGACTGAATTAATTTCATTTTTATGCATGGTTTCTAGCCCACACCCCCAAAATGGAGAGATTTTTTTTCCAGTTCACTGTGTGTAATTATTCAGCCTGCCTTCCAGCAGAAAGGATATGGTTATTAATTTCTACTGTTAAATCCCCTCACTGCTCTTAAGCTCAAAGAAAATAATAATGGATATAGATAAGGAAAATAGATTGGAATGTAGAATGCAAAATGTTGAATGTATTTGAGGCAGAGCACAATGGAAATAATGTTAGTTTTTGCTCTTAAAAACTTGTGTAAGTGTATTTTATGTGACTGATATTGTTAGCTTTCAAAACACCATTCGAGTTTCAAAATTCACCCTAGAGATTTGCTGTTTGAGAGCATGATCATTTCAGCTATCAAAATACACCATTTTGAGATGAGCACTTTTACAGCTAAAATATGAAAACATCAACTTATCTGATGCTTTTTATTTTTTTATTTGGCACTTACTATATTATTGCTCTTGTGAAGTGATATAGTTTATCTATTAACAGCTATCATTATGTTGGAACTTAGCTCTTTTATTCAGTACTCAGTACTGTATGCTCAGCACTCTGTAATATTTAACACTTAGTTATGTCAAAGGGGACTAGCCTTATATCCCTAAACATGCATTTTTAGTGGTATGTTGTATGCTAGTTTCAAACCCCTCCTCCTTCAGAGATGTAGCTGAGAAGATTTTCAGCAATTTTACTGTCAGAGAATTAAAATATGATACACCTACACTGTATGGTATAGCACATACTGCAAAATTGATTTCCAAATATATACAGTAGCAGTAACAGCAGTGTATTTAGAATACAGCCAAGAGTAGCAGTGCAGTGATCCTATATACAGGTTTGAACATTTGACTTCTTCCTCTCTTTGTTCAGGAAGCAAATTGTATCATGAATAGAGAAATAAACTGTTTATTTATACACAAAGCTTTGCAAAAATGTACGGGGAATGTGACATGTTTTAGCACTTAATGTTATACGATATGTTTATGAAGCATATACTCATTTTTCTGCATTTTTCTCCATGACTTTGGAATAACTAAGGAAACCAAGAAAAAGATTCATGTTCAGTTTAGTCTCAATCTGTATTCTATGAAATTAACGTTAATGTAAATTAGGTACAAATCTCACTTGGCTTTAGTTTTGTTTTGTTTCTTGTCAGACGTAACAATTTGAAATAATTTGTTCTACTTTTCTATTGCATGGTGGAGTGGCGATTATTGCTAACTGCCTCTTGATATCTTGAGTCCCATCCTGACTTTGGCAGTCTCTTATGTGACGTTAATGTGTTCTCCCTGTGTTTGCTAGGGTTTTCCCCACGAGATTTAATTTTCTCTCAGCTCCCAGTGAAATGTTGAATCGGTTAATTAGTGACTCGGACGTTGGCTTGTATTGGCAATGACCAGGTATACCATCCAGTATTACATCTTTCTAGAATAGACCTTGGTCAGCCTCTTGACCTCTGTCATTAGGATTTCTAATCAGGATTAGATTGACAAATGGCCAACTCTTTCTTGTGGAGAGGAAGCTTTGTTCAACTAAAAATTTAACATTGTAGCTTTAAAGTGCTGAATGAGTTTTACTAATGTGGTCTTCTTGATTAATATCTTCATGTGGAAAGTGATATCCTCCAGTCATATTTATATATAGCGATATACTGTAGATATTGTGCTATGACTATGTGCGGCTTTAGCAGACTATAGTCTGAGGTGTGGATGGAAATTTAGACTGACATCGCCAGTACCCTCCAGTAATGTACGTACCCATCATGAATTAATATCCATTTTATACATACTTTTTAGACTTGTCTTTGATTTTTGCCATTAAGTTTGCTATTTGATTTACATTTCCCCCAAGGAACATTTCAGGACTCAAATGAGTTTTGTAACTGAAACATTTTTTTTTTCTTTAGGAAGATGTAGTTGTCAAAACGTCCAGCAGCTGACAAGAAATAATCTATATTAATCTGAAGACCTGCCATAAATGTTATTGGTAGGAGGGAGAGAGCTGCACACAATTAGAAGGAAGTTTCTTGAGAGCAATGTGATTCGAAAAATAGGACTACATTAATACCCTAGCCATGCTTGTAATGACACAAGATCACTGGATTAAAGGGCTTGAACCCATTTTAAGATAATTTTAAAGATTCCTCAAAATGAAACCCAATTACACTACACTCGAATCAAAATCAGAGAGGAAGAGTGGGCACATTAAAACCTTTCAGCACACTTAATGCACCGAATTGCTCTTTATTCAATCTGGAGAGCTGAAAAGCAGCATTCCTTATTTGGTGCCTATGTGTTCCTCCAATGAAATTGTGCAGGAAATGTTTGCACATCTCTATGGTGTATTCATTCTACTTCTATAATAGAAGACTACTGTATCAATTATTTGTTATTAGGTCAGATAAGAGCAAAGGGTGCCTAAGAGCTTGCTGAATGGATTGAAATTTACATGGAATATGGGCATTAGAATTAATTTAGATGCAGCTGCTAAGACAAGGGCCGAAGATAATAACTATGGAGTTAGATCTGATTTATTTGCACCCTTCTGGGTTAAGGTGATTTGATTTACCATATACACTTTATTATTGGGATTTTTCATACATAAAAATACTTTTTCTACCAGGAAATCAACGGGACTTTTGCGAAGGTGGTAGATGTATAAAAACACATTTCTTGGTAAAAAGGGAGAGTTTGGAGATGTATTTTATTAGATGTGTACTTAACGGTCAGTTTATCCTCATTCTATTGTTTAAAGCCCTTTTGTGCAGTATCTTTTCTTTCCTCAGGAAAAAAAAACATGTATATTTGTTTCTCTTCTAGATTGTTTTGCTCAGAACTCGATCATTAAATCTATAAAATTCTTTGCCAAAATATAAGTGGTAATATGCACATTGACATTTATTTCCACTAAGAAAAATGTAAACATCATAAGGACTGACACCCTGTTTCCTACAAACTAAAATATTTCACTATTCTTTGATACACTATACAAAATGAAAGAGTATACAGTATTGGGGTGTCAGATAATATTATAAATGAGTCCATTTTGTTAATAAATAACCAACTGAGGTAATGCATATATAAAGAAATATTATGATATAGTTTTGGTTATTGCAAAGGAGGGCAGCAAGATACTGTACATCGCCAAACCAAGGTAGCTGTCTTATCCTTTTCTTGCTCGAACCAAGAAAAATGCTTTGGCGTGCTTTGTTGACTATGACTCACTTTTCAAGTTAAAAGGAAATCTTTGCTACTACACGTTAAATAAAGATATCAAAAGAGTGTCTTGCAAATATGTGTTTGATGACAAGTCACCCCCCACCTCTCTTTAGCTATCAAATGTTAACAACTTTTCTCTGTCAGCCTCTTCATAGTTGTAAGAAAATTAACATAATCCTTTAATTTATCTGTCCACTTACATATTAATTCATTTAGCTCAGCATCATGCTTCAATGGCTGCATATTGTGACTTAAGTGCTGTAAATAATGAGTGTGCTTGCCATAAAACAACATCTTCATGGCGTGACAGAGACCCACACTTCCAGTGCTGGCCTTTGTAAACCCAGTGAATATTAAATATTCTGGATGGGGAGCAGTGTCTGTGTGTAAAAGAGTTAAGTGAGTAATGAAACAAGCTAAAATTAGGCACCAAGCGCTTATGCGTTAATCATTACTTCACTACACAGAATACCAATAACAAAGATCCATGCCCCAGCTGAAGTTAAATTAAAAGAGATAAAGAGACATGCTGTGGAATATTTATTATGCATAGGTCAAATACATATGCTTGTATTTAGTGGAAGGCTGGAAATGTATGTTATTTTCCTATGCATCTACCTTACATAGTTTTTCTTCATGTCTTAATCAAATGGTGTGGAATACAGTATATTATACGGAGCTAAAGTTTCTGCTCTCATCTCTTACACAAACAAACATTAATCAATGTCTATCATAGATAATGTATTGATGTTTTGCCGTTAAAAATATAAGGGATATGGTCGGCTCAGAACTCTCCATGCTTGGGTCTGAGACAGTTTCTTGTGGTTAAAATCTGACTTAATTTGGTTCTTCTATACAACAGAATGTGGGGATGTCTAGCATTAGTTTACCTTGACCAAAATTGTTACAGAGTAGCAGATACTGTAGATATCCAAGTCCTGATTTTATGAAAAGTCAGTTTGCTAAAAATAACTAAGGGTTGTGCTCTTTCATTTTCATTTATTCTTTCAACCATTATCACAAAGCCTTTTATTCCTTGTAAGTGATGTGGAAACCTGAATCCTATCCTGATAGCAAAGGGTACAAGGTGGGGCTTTCTTCTAGACTGGCAGGGCACACACACAAGCACATGGGACCAATTTTAAAGACACCAATTAGCCTAGCCAGCATGTTTTTGAAAGGAGAGAAGAAAGGTGAGAAAAACCTTATATAGAGGAATAGAGGAATAATCTGCAAACTCCACACTGCCCTGAGCCCAGAATTCGAGAGCTGTGATGCACCAGCTTTAACTGGTACACCACTACTTTTAACATATTTTGGTTTGACTGATAGGAAAATAAGAGGTTACAATATTAAATAATTTGTATTTTTTAATGTAATGTTAAAAAAATCAAACAGTAAAGTATACAGTACACAAATTTCTTCACATCAGTTATAACTTCTCTGTATTATGACTACTGTAGATTTTGAGTGATTTCGTCTCCAGGATTTGCACTTTAGTTTTTTTTTAATGAAGTACAACATAGCACCTCTCATAGAAGTGAAAAAGGGTAGGCCATTACTGACTCTTTATCAATAGAGCTTCGCCTCTAAACCTCTTCTGTGTCTTATCTCTTTGTAGATCCGGTCAGACCAAGACAGAGAGACTCTGATTCGGTACAGCATCACTGGAGTGGGTGCTGATCAGCCCCCTATGGAGGTGTTCAGCATTGACCCAGTAGCTGGAAAAATGTTTGTCACTAAGCCTTTGGACCGGGAAGAAAGAGCCTCCTATCATGTAAGTATTGGCAATTATAATATCTACACTCTGCACCATCTGCAGTATCCTTATTTTATGATAATCATAAAATAAATAATAATAAAAAATAAAAAATAATTAAATGGTAAAATAAGTAATACATAAAGGAATGTATTATGAAGTGCGATTTCTGTTTGAATATTTTCACTACCCAATTGATAACATGATTTTTGGCAGAGGTTTTATTATGTGCTCCTTACGAATTAGGATCCAGTCAATTTCATTCTTCAATCCGTCAACGACTTCACATGCCCATTTCTTGACATTTTTCTAGATGTGATAAATGAGTTCTTATTCTAATTATAATTGAGATTGATAGAGTGAGAATGTCATTCTTTTTTGTCTCCCGTGCTACATCAATATCTGGTTAAGTTGCCCTTGATGCTTTTTATGTAGTTCATTTGAACGTCTGTGAGGAGGACTTCGCATTCCTGTAGACAATTCCTAACCAACACTCTTCCATCATCCCCATCTTCACCACCAATTCAACAACCTCTTGGGGTGCACTGACTTCTAACTCTCATATGACCCTACAGCCTTCCCTCTAATCAACATTTTGAACCAACCTCAAAATCACAATATATTTTAAAAGACAACTTATAGCCAAAATATTGATAAGGAGTATATTTAAAATGTCTCTGTATCTTATGAAGGTATATTTCCATTGTCACACAGATTCTACACTTCATCAAAAAAGTCCTGTACATTTTGAACATGGTACCTTGTTAAAATACTGTATAAACTTAGATGATGTATAGGATATTGGACTTCTCTTTGATAATATTAATTAGTTTTGCTTTCCTTTGAAACAAACACTTTCTTTTCAACTTCTGGGTCCTTGCTAGCAGAAGAGATATGCACTCTTCCAGTCTGCTAGTTTCTCTCCTTTGTACCTTATTTCACTTAATATAACACAGCATTGAGACCAGCTGCATATCCGTTTATATCATCAGCCTTTAGGTACAGCTGATGGTGATGCCCCCACCAAGATTCATTTCCGCAGTCTTGCTGATGGCTGTCCTCACTTAGCTTGCTCTTTCAAACTCACTGGTCTTCTCTTTGGGTTTTTTTATGCCGCAGTCCAGTTCAGTAATTCCATGGTGCAGCAGTGGTTCCTGCCTCTTGCCATGGCTTTGTCATATTAATTGGGACATCCTATTACTCTTTCTAAACTATGGTTGGAACCCAGTCATTTCTTTTTTTTACTTCTTTTTATTTCAGGCATATTTGTTTGAATGCCTTTTTTGTGTATTGCGAAGGGGGTGGCATGGTGCAGTGGTGGTTAGCATTGCGGCCTTGCCAAGCTGAGGCCCAGGGGTTCAATTCCTGGGGCGCCATCTGCGTTGAGCTAATGTAGTACTGTATGTTCTCCCTGTGGTCACATGGGTTTCCTCCAGGTGCTCCAGTTTCCTCCCACAGTTCATGGACATACTGGTAGGTTCATTTGCTTCTGTAAAAAAAACGTCCCTTGTGAGAACACTCTGTGTTTGCCCTGTGACGGGCTGGCGTCTTGTCCAGGGTGATCATGCCCTCCACTCATTGCTTGATGGGATAGGCTCAGGCTCCCCACAGCCCTGTATTGGATAAAGCAGTTTATAAAATGGACGTATATTGTGAAGGTTAGAGTAGGCTGCGTCAGTGTGTAACATGCAGAGGAACAAATACAGATTAAAACCATGCTGGAATTATATATAAAATCTAACAGCTGTATTTGTGGAATCATTCCTCTTTGAAGGCTCTAAGTTTCACAATCCATATAAATACTAGAGGCAAATTCCACTGGACAAAGACTCTTTTAGATTCATTTGGCACTTTACCTTTCAAATACTCTTTTGCCCATTTTGTATTTCAGGCATTTGATTTTCACTTTATAACATTAATTGGCCTCGTATACATATATAATAGAAGGTAATCTATTCTATCTGGAGGCTATTTACTTCACTTTCCTTGGGAGATGCATTTTTATGAAACATCACTTTAGTTTTGTTTAATTTTATTGTCAGACCTGCTTTGATGCTCGTTTCATTTCGTTCTTATAAATAATAAGAGGATTTTTCGGCAAAATCTTCACTTGCAGAGATTCAGAGAACCTCAGCTGTCAATTAGGAAGAATTTTCTTTTTGCTGTATAGTCTTGTTCATAAAGAAAGTAAATGTGTATATTCATCTTACCTGTCAGACATAATGAAAAAACTGTTTTGTTGTTTGTTCTAAAAGTGTATAAAACCAGAACTAAGTCTTGTTTCTGATGTCTACGGCTGTCTATATATATAATTGATGTCACTCTTTAAACTTCAGAACATATTATTTATGCAAGTAATTATTTATATTGATAAATTATCTCACAGGTTAAGAAGTGACATGAATCTGGTTGTCATTGTATATTACAGGTTGCAAAGTTTATAAAGCTGTTGACTGCTTCCTATTCAAGCACATTGAACAGTATGTTCTACAGTAGTGCTGTATCATGGCTGTCCGACAAACTGTCTGCTATACTACGTGGGCTGTTGATTTAGAACCAAATAGTAGAGAATGGTGTCTGTTAAATTATTGCATTTATAAAAGTCATGGTTCTGAACTGCAGTACAAACTGAAGACAAAGATCCAAAGTGGTTTGCTTTGGAAAAGCTCTGCATGGCAGACATCACAGTGTAAACTGCACATGCAGTACCTGAGTGCTTGCAATCTGCAGTGCACCGTCTGCCCCAAAGTAAAATTCTGTGTGACAGAAACGAGCGACTCCGCTGAATATGGCCTTTCTTTGGTGCACTTTGTTTCCTTCTGAGTTTCTTGGAAAACTGGCACATGGAGGAACGGGAAGACTTGCAGAGCTTGCTCCTCCAGCACATGTCAGCATTCCCCCCATGACTGCTGTCTTATTTTGCTGCCAGGTTTAATAACCTGCAGATTGAGCTGGAGGCATTGTCTAGTTCTGCTGCTTTATCTGATGGCTTTTTCACTGTGCTGGGAAGACGGTAAACAGCTGCTCCCTCTTACAACATTTATATAGTGTGTCTCCATAAATCATTGAATCACAATCTGTTTTTACAGAACAAGAGACTTCCAGAATACAACAGCAGTATTGCAAACAGAGAAACAGTGGAAGTGCAATGTGTTCAGACGGCCCCCACGCATGGCTTGAGATCCTCATTTTGTTATACATGGGTTTTTTTTTTCCCTGTAGCTGTGAAATAAATTGCTGTTACAATTTGATATGTACAAATCGAAGCAGTATTCCAGGCACTCTGGCATCACTTCATATATATACAGTATATAGAATTTTCTTTTCAAACCCATTTCTTTACTCTGTTGCATTTTGTGAGGTTCACCCCATTTGCTAGGTTTTTAAAAAGGCTTGACTTGCCTGCTCAAACTAATTGACTCAGTCAGGGACAATAAGGCTCAGTTGTAAAGGTTAGATCTTTTTTCCCCTCAGTTAAGCTTGTCCCAAAGCAGGGGAGATGCTAAAGTTGATATGTAATAAACCCATTGCATTTTTCTAAAATCATCCAGAAGTGGAACATTTTAAGCAACCTGAATTTATCCTCACCTCACTCACATATACACATAAAATAAATATAGCAAAGTTATAGATGGCGGGTTTCATGGTAATAAATTCTTAAACACATTTCTCATTGCTGTAAAATGCTTTAATGAAACCCAAGGGTGTTTTAAACCACAAGTGCAAAGTCTGAGCAAATTAACTTTCCTAGGTAATCGGCTGTAAAGTTTTCACCCCTCCAGCTCCAGTCCTGAAAGAGGGAATGATAGTCATTTACTGTACATTTGTGCAGAGCTGTAAGTTACTCACCACCAGATGAGGAAAACTGACTAAACAACATCCTCTCATGTGTGACCTACGTATGTCTAAGGCTAGTTTTCATTATTTATTAGGCAAATGCAGAAGTCTCTTTAAACCATAAAGAAGTCATCCTAATGAAGGGGAAAGTATTCAATACTGTTATTTTGTATACGTCCTACAAATCTCTACAGTTTTAAATGTTGCCGTTTGTGATTTTTTTTTCAAATGCATCGCTATTTATCCAGAAATACTATTTGTCAGCAGATTTTTTTGGCAGCAAGGGTAAAAAAATAACCAAACCACAATAATAAAACAGCACATAAAGTGGTGGCTAAATTACACTAGGGGAGGAATGAAATATCACACAGCCACATCGGTTCTCCTGTCAGCTGTGTTCCTATTACAAATAAAGTGTAACAATCGGCTGTTCAATTAAGGTATAAACCTAAGAACAGATAACCTTGTTTTCTTATTAACAGGTTGTTGTTTTAATTACCAAACTGGATCAGCCCATCGTTTAAAGGGTTGGAAGGTTTGTAAGGTTAAGGTTTTGCGATCTTCCAGTCATCTTTCTTTCCATTATGGAAATTTAGGAAAGTATTATCAACTCTTACTTTTTCTCTTTCTTACTCCCCAGTGTATTTGTTTATTTTTGTTTGTGACTGAGACATTTTCTATTTGCCAATCCCAAAACACAAAATCCGTCCGTTTAAAAATCCTGTTACTAAGTCTAACTTTGGTGTTTTGAACTGAGCAGTTCTGACTGTTTTCCGAGTGAGAGCAGTGAAGAATCAGCACCTCATGTAGATGATTAGGCTTTGAAAAGCAGTTCATTTGGAAGGCTCAAGAATTTTTTAACTGGACTTTCTAAAACTCCTGGCAGAAGCTGAATTGGCATACTGTAATTGTAAGTAAAGAGGTGGTAGAGTTCAAAATGTGACATTAACATCGCTGTGCTAGTTTTTCAGTGCTTCTGGAGCAGTGCCTATAAAGACACATTTTCTAGCAGGGGAGTTTTTTTTTATTTCAAAGAGTCTTTATGGTTTTATTTGTAAAGAAGAGCAATACAGGACTGAGGATTCATTTTGTATGACTCGGAACACATTCTGCAACGGATTGCAAAGCAAGCATACCTGCCAACATTTAAATAATGGTAAAGATTCACTCTCCACACCTTT